CCCCCCCCCCAAAAAAAAACACACAACAAAAACAACAACAACAACAACAACAACAACAAACAAACCCACACCCCTAAACAATTTTTTGGGGGGTAAATATTTTCCTTCACACTGAAGTTTTATGTTTCAAATCTGTACACACCATCTTGGAGTCAAAAGGAATTTGTCTGATATCCATTTAAGATAAATCCACAGAATAGTTTTTCTCTACACAGCGCGTAAAAAACAACCCATTTTAAGCTGTAAGTTCGCACTTACTAGACCTACAACTCTAAGTCCCAACAATTGGGCCATATTGCAAGCTACAGTAGTCTAAAAGGCCAACAGAAGTTTGCAGACAGTTTTTCTCAAGTTTCCTTTGCCTGTTGAGATCATAGTTAGATCAGTAAAGAGCAGGGAGCTTTTTGTGCTGAAAATAAATTTCCTCACCATCAATTCATTTTGTATGTAAGTTTCGAGCAAGATACGGAATTAATGTTAAAGTGTCCTTAATGCCTACTGTGATGTTAGGGGAGAAAATGGCACATCTTTTAGGACCTGTAGAGAATCAGAATTATAATTTCCCAGACAAAATGACCACTCCAGGCCAACCACACACCGCGTACACCCCTTTAGACGTCACCAGGGTGCAGCATTCAGTAGATGAGTCCTATCATGAGACGTCTGACCGTTGATAGTGTCTGCAGCTAGGACTTTCCTACATCTCAACAGTCTGCATTCAGAAGGTAGATCTTTATCTACGACTGTACCATTTTCCTGTTCAGCAATGTGTTCATGATTTCTCCATCATATTGAAAAGCGTGAACATTTCCTCTATGACATTTTGGTTCCTTGGCAGGATATGTAAACTCCACAAATGCTGTCTATTTGGGCAACCTCACCCTGCACTAATTTTTATCAAACTTTTACCAGTAAGGCAATCTCAGATTGGGATCAATTATGAAGACCGTTTTGTGGTATATTGATAATACTGGATGTTCCAAGTTCAGAAATACTTTTGAAGTAATCATTTTCTTTAGTTATTTCTGTTTAAGTATAATAATATTTTTCAGCGTCACAGATCCGTCATGGTCGCTAGTTGTGTCTTTGCTTCTATAACAGCAACCTCTTCCACTTTCAATATTTTCAATAAATATTTCACCACTTGAATAGACATGAGGGTCTTGAATGAATTATCATCATCATTGCTTTTCTCACCCTGCACCAGGGTATAGGCCACAGACAAACACCCTCCACTTTTCTCTATCCTGGGCTAGCTTCTTGGTGTTATTGCATGTCTTCCCACTTTACTGTACATCGATTTCTGTGATTCTTCTCCAGGTTCCACGAGGTCTTCCCCTTGATCTCTTGTCCAGTGGGTTCCAATCCAAAACTTTCTTTGTTATGCAGCTGCCTGACTTCCCGAGAGTATGTCCAATCCATCGCCACCGCCTTCTTCCTACCTCATCTCTGACTGGGATCTGTCTTGTTTTCCCTTAACACTTCCACATTGGTGACCCTGTCTGTCCATCTGATCCTCAGTAACTTTCTTAGATACCTGTTCAAGAAAACCTGGATCCTCTTTATGCAAGTCTGTGATGCGTTCCATGCCTCACATCCATACAACAGGACCGACTTCATGTTTGAATTGAAAATTCTCAGCTTTGTTCGAAGTGAGATATCTCTGGTCTTCCAAATCCTATCCAAAGAATGAATATCATGCTCTTACTGATGAAATTGAAGGCAAACGAAGCAGAGGAAGACCCAAAGCATCTTATCCTGCTTGGAAAGCCTAAACAGATGGGTGACGGGGAATTATCAGGATGATATACCTTTTTTTGAGAGTATCTGAACAAAAGAATGAATGGCGAACCATGACCACCGATGTTTGTTGCAAATCTGGCACCTGAGGATGATTTCACCACCAACAATAATACTTTTTTTTTTAGAAAGGAAGGGGAGGGGGAGGAGAGGAGGAATGCCGTCCGTTACGTTGAAAGGGAGGATTACCATCTCACCTTTCTTTTTGTTTTGCATCATTGTCCAAAGGAACAAAAATC